GTCAGTACGTTAAGTATTGTAAACCACATCATTCAATCTAATTTTTCATTCCACTTACAAAATCACCAGTTGCCCCTCTAGAACCGATTGATTCCATCCGCATAATCATATAAATGCCGCAATCATATCTGTTACAAAATTTGAATATCACACATGTCAATTATGAAACCTGAATAAATTGAGCTTTCTATTTATTATAACATCTCATACCCATTCAATTGCTCATTCATCTTATGCTCCACAAATTTGAATTTTTTCAATGGGACCTTTAGACGGCCACATGCTTCTACAAAAATATGTTCCTTATTATATCTACCTAATATTATCATCTGCATTAAAAATATCAAGTTATGATCCAAACAAATTATGCATTATAGTTTACATTAAAAAATATCAAGTCATCATACCAATCTCTTAGCATCCTTCACTCTCTGTTTGGCAGCTGGAGATGAAAATAGACTATCATATACCGTTGCAACACAGTCTACCATATCCAACACCAACAGATACCAATGGGAACTACCGTAGTTTATTGTGATCAGGATCTGCAATAAATTTCACACCCAATTTGACAAAATTCAACATTATATATCCGAAAACATCATTTGCAATTCGTATGGTGTCTTACCTTGTCACACTCGGTGAATTTCACATAGTTATTCAATATCGACCCCCAAAAGCTCGCAACACCATCAACAGTTGCATTGCCCTCCAATGCATGTTGCTGCATTTATGCGACAATCATTATTAATTAACCGTCTATAACACTATTTTTCAACATTTATTAATTTAACTCACCGCTAAGTGGTATGGAAGGTAGTCAATCTTCCCGAATAACTTTTTCGATTCGTAACATAATGTCTAGCCGACCAAATCAATAATCTAACAAAATTAATTACACAATCAGAACATATTCACTAGGTTTTAACATTTTTTACTTTCTACTTACCGCACCGCCAACCTATTACATAGGCTTCAGTTTCAACGTCGGATACAGTAGCGAATTGATTTCCCATTGTGATTACAACATATCTATATGAAGCATTATGATTAATATTTTGTCATGAAATATTTAAATATCACTCACAAAGCAATATATTTCACTTACGATGATTCTAACCCACTATTCCATAAATAATCACACATTGCAGCTTCGTAATCACCAATTTCGCTTGGAATTTTCGCTTTTTCAACCTACAATTTTGCATACAAATTTTTGTCACAACAACATAATAAATATCAAATTAAGTTTTCTTTTATTCAGCTTACCTTCTTCTTCTTCTTCTTGGGTGCAGGACATTTTGAATCCAAATCTGCATCTATAACACTCTTCGATGTATAAATCACATTCACATCATTCCTCCTCACCTCCTCCATCTTTTCTTCTTCATATTTTTTCAATTCATCGTATTTTTCCTCCACATATGACCTTACCTCTTTTATTTCACCCTTCATTTTTCCCTTTCATCCAACTTTTTCTCAACCACCCCCGTAAGTTCACACCTCAATTCCACAACTTCCTTCACCACTCCATCAATTTTTCCACCAGTCACCATCTTAGGTTCACCCCTCAACTCGTCAACTTCTTTCGCCACTTCTTCTATTTTTCCACCTACTTCCCCCTTAAGTCTCTCAATTGTCTCTTCGACTCTTGATTGTCTTTGCAGAATATCAAAAAGGAATTTTTTTACATCCACCAATTCAGACATCAAAATGTCTAATTTACTCTGTTTTCCCTCACCGTCATCCCCCTACTACTATCTCTTCTTCCTTCTTCTCTGCCTCCACTACCTCCTCTACTTCCTTGCCAATAACCTTCAAAATTTAATTACAATATTAATACATTATGTTGATTTTCTTAATAGTATTTAATTACATTTATTACCCTTTCTTGCTTCTTCAGTCTATCCAACTTCAACTTCGCCATCACTCTAACCACCTCTTCCTTCCCCCATGCACGGATGCATGCCACTCTGGTTCTTTCATAAGCCGACACACTATTACAGTCCGACCAAAAATCGAACAATGCAACCTGCATTTATAATTAAATTTATCATTTTATATAATAACTATACTATCATTTTATATAAAAACAAAAATATTTTTCAACTCATTTACCTCTAAGATTGCTATGCACCCTTTGCGGTATCTCTGGTGGCCCTTTTGAAAGCTGATTATCGATTCAATCAATCTCGAATGGAGATATTTAGCCCAATTGAATTCACCTTTCAAGCCTCCATCGCAAATCAGCTTCATATTGTCCTTGCTCGTTGATGTATCACCCATTGGACAAAGAAAGATCCCGATAAGGTATAATAGAACTTGGGCCTTCAGGTCATCCCCTCGTAAGATCCACTTTTGATTTCCTCTTCAAGTTCAGCATATGAGACCTTGTGCTTTAAATCATATTTGGAGGCAAGTGCTTTGCAGTTACTAGTCTTACTGGCTTCTACAACACTTTTGCCTTTATTTTCTACCCCTAATACGGCTGCAGCACATGGGACCCCCCAGAGGAAATGAATAATCATCATATTTAACCATACACTGTTGGACATCAAATTGCTTCACCAAGGATCAACATAATTCCCTTCGAATTGGTCTATCCCTTACTCCTATCAAGGATCCAAACCCTATTTCTTTCAACACCTTCAATTGCCCATTCTCCTTAAGGTGTTCAATTAATGAATTCACATTTTTAATGTTGCACCTTGTCGACACTTCCTACATTTTTTTAAAAATATATAATGTTATTGTTCTTATATAAGTTTTATCAAAGCATTTATAAGCTTAATGAATACCTCTTTTTCAGGTGCTTTCCTCCAAGCTTTGTATTATTATATATCCATCTTTGACTGTGTCAAGTAATATTCCTTCTCAGCATCAGTCATCGACTTCCATTTCTCCAACACATAATCTCTCACCTAAAATTAAGCATAAACGTTTCTTAATCAATACATTAACACTAAATAATACTCAATGTCAATTTCATTTTACATATCGAACCAATGTGATTGCCAGCTTCTTTCATCCTTTGGCATTCAGTCATACTGTCAACATTTAAAATTTGTAATCAATTTAAAGTTCTTAAATGCTTTAATCCAATTATCATTTCAACAATAATAACAAAAATACATTGATACTTACTAGAAGTACATATATCCACCCTTTGGTTGCTTTCGACTCTCGGCCTCAATTTCAAAGTCATCTTCGACAACAACAATTGCACGATCTGTTGACTTCATTTTTCCTTCATATATCAGTTTACGCAAATCAAAATCAAATACTGGTTACATTCACTTTATTCAATATATAAATATCGATAAGAAGATAACTACTCTTATAATAAAACGATTTCCTTCAAAAGAATTTGAATGGCCACTATTACAAGTATCGACACATTTATATAACCTACAATATCATTTTCTACCTATAATATTATATACATGTATCAATATTTATTTTCTACCTATAATATTATATAATCGGTCCCAAATCCTTATTGGCTTCAATTATAAATCCCCAAATCAAACCTAAAAACCCTAATTCCTATTTCCTTCAAACTAATAGAAACACCCAATACTACAAGTATCAGGACATTTATAAAACCTACAATATCATTTTCTACCTATAATATTTAATAAAAGTACCGATATTAATCATTTACCTAGAATATCACTTTCTACCTGTAATCGGTCTCAAATGCTTCTTTACTTCGATAACCCCAAACACATAAAATCCCTATTTCCGATTACTGTAATAATAAAAAACTAGGGTTTCGACAACATACTTTTCGATTCGACTGCAACAACAAACACACAAACTTCACTTTAAAAACGCCTTCTGAAATGTAGCAACAATTTCGCTTCGATTTCAAAAACTCAGTCGTGTTCTATCTATTTTCAGAGGAAATTTAGCTATGTCTTTTATATTTTAACCGGATATGTTATTTATATTTAATCGATTCAATTACCCAAGTCTCGATACTTTTATGTCAGATGTCGATACTTTAGATATGATATTTACCTATTTCTTTTAAAAGTATCGATAATTTCTTACGTGTAATTATAAAAGTATCGACACCTTCAACATATCCGGTAGCGCTTTACCGATTTTATCATTTCGAGACTGATTTTGTCATATTTTTACCTACTATATTGTTATGGATCGATACATTTTTATAAAATATCGATACTTTATAGGCGCTATTACTGTTTTCTTTTAAATTCCAAAAGTGTCGATACTTATTTCAATGGAATCGATACTTTCAACATATCCGATATGACTTTACTAGTTTTGTCATAATGAAATCGGTTTTGTCATACTTTTACCTGTTATATTGAGATGTATCGAAAAATATTTATAAAGTATCGATACTTTTTAGGCGCTATTACTGTTTTTCTTTTAAATTCCAAAAGTGTCGATACTTATTTAAATGAAATCGATACTTTCAACATATCTGGTAGCGCTTTACCAGTTTGTCATTATGAAACCGATTTTATCATATTTTTACATGTTATATTATTGTGTATTGATACATGTTTATAAATTATCGATACTTTTTAGGCGCTATTACTACTTTTCTTTTAAACCCTAAAAGTGTCGATACTTTTTTTAATAGAATCGATACTTTCAACATATCAGATAGCGCTTTATCGGTTTTGTCATATTGAACCCAAGTTTCTCATATTTTTACCTGATATATTATAATGTATTAATATATATTTTAATTGTATCGATACGTACCGACAAGTTAAATTTGTCAGTTGTCAAATTTTTTAATATTTCTTCATGATTTCTACCTACAACATTATTATTACTCAACAATTCTAATAGGGCCAAATCTACTTTGTTAAATATTTTATTATGTTTCTGGTAACATCATATATTAGTCCACCTTTCTTGAGACAACTGTCGCAGTATTATTGGTCTATACATGAGTGTAGTAGACACCTCTCGTACACAATCAATTCCTCAAATCCAACGCCGTGCAAGTTGAACTGCAAACCAGACACTGTATCGGAGGGGAAAGAGGAACCCTAATTTCTTCCACCCAAAGATCGATCCTTTTACGAGGTTGAGCCGGATTCCTTAATTGATACTTCATAATCGGAAAGGCAAGATCCGGATCCGCCGGATATTAGCTTTGCCCACGCCCAAAGCACAGCTCTCCAAAATGGGTAAACCGGAAGACGGTGAAAAGAAGGTATCCTTGAAACCTCAATTGAAATTTCGTCGGCTACCTAGTTTTCCAATCGCCAAAATAACATTGCCCAAGAAGCCAAAAGGCTCTACTTTTGTCTGGTCACTTCAAAGAAGTTTTTCTTCTCTTTTATAATTATGTTTTCAAATTCCCGTGTTCAGCTGTTTGACTGGTGTTTAACTGTTTTTTGGAGCTGCAAATTTTCATCATTTAAAATTTTGAATTTTACCCATTACGTAAGTAATCAAAATGATGTTGCCTATAAAAGGAATTTAGTTTTTCAACCCGGTTGCAATATATAGCTATGTTTTTTAAGTTATATATTTTTATAACGAAAATAGCAATATTTTGTCTGGACTATTTTATCTCTGCATTTTCTTTTTATGATTCTTGTGTAGAAGAAGATCAAGGATGTTGAAATAAGTGTTCCTATCGTATATGGTAATGCTGCATTTTGGCTTGGAAAAAAGGCAAGCGAGTGAGTATATTTACTAAGCACTTAAAACTACTGAAATTTCGATTTGGTTTGTCATTTGCACGTTTCAATATATGTTTGGTTTTCCAATCTTTAATTCAGCTATCAATCTCATAAATGGACCGTATATGTACGCGGGGCAACGAATGAGGATCTTAGTGTGGTGGTAAAGCAGGTTGTTTTTCAGTTGCATTCCAGTTTCAATAATCCTACAAGAGTCGTGGACTCGGCTCCATTTGAGTTATCAGAATCAGGGTGGGGTGAATTTGAGATTGCCATTACACTTTTTTTCCATAATGATGTTTGTGAGAAGCCCTTGAACCTGTGAGTTGCTTTTGCTGTTAATCTGGTTTTAGTTTAATTTGTTTATTCCAGAACTAGCCGAAGTTTAGTCCTATTGACATCATTGTTCAATTATGACATTGTTAAAGATGTGTAGAACATACAATTATGTTCCAGTAGAATAAAGGGTTTCTACTTGTTTTAATTTTGATGTTCCCAATATCTTATTCTTGTGACATTTCTTTCAGTTAGCATGAAAGACTGCACAGTTGTGATTCAAGTGTAGAAAAATAAACGAATTTCATTGTATTAGATATAATCCACGAGATCCATGCATTACTTTATTTGTTGTTTTTCTTTCTTTATCATTCGGTTTGTTGAAGAACTTGCTAGCAGCTAAGTGAAACATTTAAATAGTCAGAAGCTATAATGTCCTGATTATGAGCAATTAAATGTTGGATTTTCTGACCTTTTTCCCTTTCCACCGAAGATATGTAGTGATTGTTGGAATTTCTCACAATCATTGTGATTCTGTTTTTAACTGTGTTCAAAATAACTTATATTCTACTACATTGGTGGAAAACCAAAAATTACTAAGCCTCGGGGCAAAATGTTGATTGTAAAATTGCATCTCCAGATATCATCATTTGAAGTTATACCCAGAAGATGAATCTGGCCCCATGTCAACTAAGAAACCTGTTGTCATGGAATCCTATGAAGAGATCGTATTCACAGAACCGTCAGAGAGTTTTTTAGCTCGTGTGCAGAATCATCCAGCAGTAACCCTCCCCAGATTACCAGCTGGTTTTATTTTACCACCCCCAGGTTTATTCCTATGTCTTTTCTTTGAAATATATTGTTTGTGTCATGCTTATGGTTCACCAGCGTACCGCCAAATTGCTTGCAGTACCAGTTGAAGATGAAAGTAAAAGGAAAAGAGGTGACACTAAGGACCATCCCCTAAGCCAGTGGTTCTTGAATTTCTCCGAAGCTGATGAACTATTACAACTTGCAGCTGCTCGTCAGCAGGTAAGCAAGTATAATTTTTACTTCCTAGGATGAGTTTCATATTTGTGAAATGTGAATTGCATCGTCAGTCACATTTGGTTTGTTCTCAAACTTGCTCGCCAACATCTTTCCAAAATGATTGGTCCATTATCATGTATAGGTGTCGAGAAATTCAAGTTTAGTCATTTTAACTGGAATGTGTAGGTACAAGCTCATATTGCTAAGCTCAAGCGACAGATTAGCATGACCGGCAGGAATAATCAACAGTTCAAACCACTCTGAGCAGTGAATTTACAGTAATCCTGGAAATTTTGAGACTTCCAGTTCCAGTTCAAATAGATTTTGTGGCAAAGGCAACTGATGGCATAGTTATGTAATTGAGATATGTATCTTCTAATACATTACAGAGATTTGCCCCCTTTTCTTCTTTTCCTTGACTTTTGAGATCTGTACTAATAAAAGAATGGGGAAAAAAAGAGAAAATAATCTCAGTGACCAAAAATCCCAGATAATATACGATTTTGATCAACTATTTTTGGATTTGCGAAAATGACCAACAAAATCACAATGCGATTTCTAATTCGCATTGCGATCTCTAATTCGCATTGCGATCTCCACTATCGCAAATTCGCGTTGCTATTTTCCAGTTCGCGTTGCGATAGTCTATAGTTGTCGTTGCGATTTTCTAAATTCGTTGCGATAGTCTACAGTTGTCGTTGCGATTTTTCAAATTCTTTGCGAAAATCGCGTTGCGATAGTTGAAAATCGCGTTGCAATTTTTCATTTCGCGTTGCGATTTTCCATTTCGCGTTGCGATAGTCTACAGTTGTCGTTGCGATTTTTCAAATTCATTGCGATTTTCAACTATAGCAACGCGAAATGGAAAATCGCAACGCGATTTTCAACTATCGCAACGCGAAATGGAAAATCGTAACGCGATTTTCAACTATTGCAACGCGAAATGCAACACGAATTTGCGATAGTGGAGATCGCATTGCGATTTTGTTGGTCATTTTTGCAAATCCAAAAAATGTTGATCAAAATCGTATATTATCTAGGATTTTTGGTCACTGAAGTTATTTTCTCAGAAAAAAAAACCTACAGTGTGCACTATTTATTTCTTTGATAGAAGGTAAATTTATAATTGAAGAAGGCTAGTTTCTCTCTCTCTCTCTCTCTCTCTATATATATATTTATATATTAGAAATTCTTTTTACTGATTTGCACAATAATGCATACAGGTGAGCAACAATAATTTCAAGTTTGTCAATCATTCTCACTCAAAAGTCACAGATATGTTCAAGCATCATCAAATTTTTATATCCTTGTAGCTTGGTTATAGTGATGCTTTTTCTTCTTCATAAATGACAGATTTTGAACATACATGATATGAAGACATGAATATATCAAATACAAATACAATATTATTATTTTATTACAAATTTTGAGGGGCTGAACATGAAATTATCCCCAACAGAGTTGCAGTTTACAGTTTTGGAATGATGGAGTAAAAAAAAAATTAGGGAATGATCTCAGAGTACCTTACTATGTTGTCTTTACAAGAGAAGCTGGAGGGGGGGGGGGGCAAGAGTAACATGGCCTTCATGTGCTAAACAAAGCCATTCATTTTTCAACTATGAAGGGGGGGGGGGGATTTCCTGTTAGAGTGGACAGAGAAATTAAAATTTTCAAAATCTCATATATTTTATATATTCTTTTACAATTTCTATGATAATCTTTCGTCTTCTCCTTGCTAACAGTAACAGAGCACCGTATTTTGGTGAACAATGGTGGGCCTTTATCTTGTCCCCTCTTCCTTTTTCATCCATTTCCTCCTCTCATGCACAGAACATGCAAGAGTTCCTTCCATGGATGGTGACCCATGGCGTTATTTGTCCCTAACAAACAGTTGTACTCTACACTATGCACATATTTTCATATTATTATTATTATAATTGAGAAGTATATCAGCCATGGTGTGTGCTTGTATGGGTAGCTTATCCCCCACACTCCCACATGATCCATCCAACCGATCCTTACTAAAAATACACCTCTTGCACTACTTCACTCCCTTGGCTTCAAACAATGACCATTAGCAAATCCTCCAAACTCCCACAAACCGCCCTTCTGAAGCAAATTCTGAAGAGATGTTCAAGCCCAGGCAAGAAACATGGTCTCCCTCTTGACGTTCCCAAAGGCCATTTCGCTGTTTATGTCGGCGAAAACCGAAGCCGAAACATCGTCCCCATCTCGTTCTTGACTCACCCTCAATTCCAATGCTTGCTTCAACGAGCTGAGGAAGAGTTTGGTTTTCACCACCACATGGGCCTCACCATCCCTAGTGAAGAAGTTGCTTTTCGCTCTCACACTTCTATGCTTCCATGAAATTATGAAAAACAATGTAGAATGGTGGCCAAAATAAGCTCAATTAGCTTCTCTTTTTTTTAACATCTTTCTTCATTTTTGGCTACTATTTTGAACCCATTGAATTGGGTTTTTTTTCCTTCTTTTAAATGTGTTAACTAGTGAGTAATGAATCTAACTTAGCCTGCGAATTATGAACTTTTTTCCGGGTTTAGAAAATCTGTATAAAGTATGTTTACTCACATATTGTGTGAGAGAAGTTTAATGTTTAGGGAAGCAAGTGGGTATGGAACTTTACAAGCTTCATCTGTATTTTATCTCACTGTTTAATTCACATGCAAATTATGAAATGAATATATCTCAATAATATTTGTCCTTAGTCAAATCAAGTGAATGAAATGTAAGAGAGAAAAACATTACTGTGAATGTGTCTTCCACACACCACAACTCCACAGCAACATGTGTTGTCAGAGAATGTGGGTACCTAAGCACGTACCAATAAAGATTCTTTTTGAGGTAAGTGTATATTTAACATTATGTTTTGGTTTTATTTTGATTACTCACTGTTAAAAAATTAACGGTGATGATGACATGTAATTACCATAAGATAATGTCATGTTATCAATAAAAAGAATTTTTAAAAAAATACAATATCAGCAGTTCTGTTAATTCTTTTATGACGGGTGACCAAAATGAAACTAAAATGTATCATTAGGCATAATTTTGAAAAAAATATAATAGGTGTGTAACCAAAATGAAACAAAAGTGATTATTGGGATACTAAACGTGTAATTTACCCTAAATTTTGTATAATATGAATCATCCTATAATAATTTTTTATAGTATACAATCTAGATATATCAATTAACATATTAGATATCAATTATTTATAGTAAAGAAATGTTTCTACATAATTAAATATTAGTTTATATGATATTTTTAGTGAAAATCAGTTGTGGAACACAAGAGGGATTAGTGGGGGCGATGGTTTTCCAAAATTTACAAAACTATAATTTAGACTTTTAAAATTTTCAAAAATTTAATTTGGTCCCCCAAAATTTTTAGAAATTTATATTAAATTTTAGAATTTTTAAATGTTCTTAATTAAATCTCTCCCATAATTTTTTAAAATTATCATTAAGCCTCTCAAATTTTTAAAAAGTTTAGTTAAACCCTTATTTTTTGGGGAAAATGTAAACTAAACCCTTCAAAAATTTTAAATATTTTAATTTAAATTTTAAGTTGTCCTCTCAAACTCTATCACCAAATTCCTGCACCGATGAAAATGTAATTATATTTTCTTTTACAACAAATCTGAACTCCACAAACTTAAAATTTGCTAGAATAAAACTTACAAAGGTGGATCAAACTTCAAATTCACAAGCCATAAACTTTTTTTTTTGGTTCTTTTTCCTGTTAAAAGATTAAAAGCTAACATACTTATGCAGGTTAGAGCAGAAGAAAAACTCATCCATGACTTACATAACTTTCCCCCCACACCCACTTTGGCAATGTTTGGGACATAAGGGAAAACAATGCAATTTAATCTGCATGGAGCACCTCTCACATGCACAAAAACTCATAATTTTTTATTTTTGTACTTTGCCTTTATAAAGTATAATTTTGGGACCATGATATATATCTATGTATGTAAAAGTGAAACTGTAAACTGAGGCATGTATTTATGTGAAGCCTGCTGCTTTTTCATAGATGGAAGTAAAAGGTGGGTGTAGGTTAGATGGTCCTTCCCCTCTTTCTTTTATTGCACAATCTGTTTCCTTGTAGCCACATATGTTCCCACTGACTTCCTCAGCGCTTCACATCTGTTTTAACTGCTTCTCAAACTTCACAATATACATATCATCTGCTATAAGAAACTAAATAAACCCATTCTGTGTTAGCTTCACATCTTTATGTTTGAACTAAAAGTCTTAGTTCAAGAAACTTTATGATACTTCCTTCGATTAAGGACAACTTATTATACTTTCGTAGAATAACCTCTAGAAACTACCAGTACTCTGCTAACCTGGAACCCTAAGTATGTTCATTGAATCCTCCAAAAAGTTTAGCTCCTTCGAGAAGCTTTTGAATCAACCACAACGCATAAACAAGACCTTTAAACAAGATCCCTGATAGATCTGTATGATCTGATAGAGCAAAATCGAGGTTTGACCAATAAATATTTCTAACTACAAATAGCCATCATGACCCTACGGTTGACACACACAGTAAATCTACTATAAATACCCATAACCAAACAACCGTTTTTCTTCTCTTTCATGATAATTCTTTTTCTCCCTCTAAAAATCGACCCACAACTGACGTTCTCTCACTGATCAGGGTTCTCTACCCAAACCAAAAGAGGTGAATCATTCACAGCCAACAAACCTATCTTGTTCTCATCAACAATTAGTATATTATAAAATTCGTATAATATTATATTATTATATACTATAAAATATATTTCAGTATCTTTATATATTATACATAGAAAATATTTTCTTACCTTGTATTTCATATTTTGATGTATATACTATTAAATGTATTTATAATTAATATATTTTTATATCTAAAAAAACATTTAATATTTCATATTATGAATACTTTTATATATTAAATGCTTAGATATTTTCTATCACTATATATGTTTTATTAAATTGAAGTATTGTCCTTTTGTAAGAGAATCTATGAAACCACCTCTTAAATTATTAGAGTGTGATCTCGAAGATTGTTCGAACAAATGATATCATTATCTATATATATATATTTGAATGGTTTTAAATAATTGAAAATGTTTATATTTTAACATATTAAATTATATATCTTTGAGGTAATATTATAAAATGAATGATGATCCTTAGAATAACCTCATAAATTGTTGAAATTCAATTCTATAACCTCAATATTTTTTTAAATAAAGTATAAAATATTATTTCGATTATTTATATATATATATTACTTAGTCTTAAGTACAATATCATATTTATTACTTGCATGTCATTTATTTGTTGCATTCATCGCCTTGATTAGGTATCGACTTCAAGCATTGTGGGGGTGACAATCCTTCCGTGCCCACATGTAACCTATTTTTGAATTATATCAAATACATCTTTGGTAAAACATAGATTTCAAAATAGTCTTTTAAAAATATATTTTATATTATTTTTTTAAAAAATGATTATAGGTGTTTGATCCGACCTAATCCAAATGGTCAATGGTACCTCTAAGGTTGTTTTCAAAATTTATATTTTTTAAATAGTCAAGAATCGTCCTATCTTAAGGATTATTCCAACACAATTTTTCTTAGGGTGTAGATTAGGCGAAAATATTTTATGTTATATCTCCCAGAAGATGTAGAAGAACAGTTCAATTGATAAAAAGGGTGGAAGAACGGATCAACAAAATTCTGAGATTATTCCCTTTAAAATGTAAATTTTGTCTCTCTTAAGATTGTTTATCTTGAAATACAAACTTTGAGATTGTTTCATTTGAAATGAAAATTTCGTCTCCCTTGAACTTGTTTCCCTTGAAACACAAATTCTCGTATCCTTTAAGGTTATTTATGTTGAAACACAAATTTTGAGATGGTTTCGCTTAAAATACAAATTTTATCTCACTTGATATTATTTCCTTTGACAAACATACTTTGAGATTGTTTCCTATAAAACATAAATTGCATCTCCCTTAAGGTTGTTTCCTTTGAAAAGCAAAATTAGAGAATGTTTCTCTTGAAACACAAATTCTATCTCTCTTGAGATGAGAATATTTTCAGTCTCATTGAGACAACTCCATATTCATAATGAAAATTAGAGCAGAACAAAAATTCATTATTTTTTTTGTTTTTATTCTATTCTCGTTACATATCAATGGGAAAAAAGAACAGTTATAGATACTCATTTATCATCCAAACCTTGATACGAGCACTCGTTTCTAAATTTTGAGCCTTTGATTTTAATTGAATCATTTAAACAATTTTCTTTTAAATTTGAAATTGAGTTTAATATTAATATATGAATATAATAAATAAATTGGATTTAGTAATTTTAAAATTATAAATATATATATATATATATATATATTTAAATATCGAATAAATTATAACATGTCTGGTACTTAAAATCTCATTTGTCCAAACTGCCCAAACTAAAATTAATTTAAATCTGGTATAGATAATCTCATTTGCCCAAACAATCAGTTGATTTAGTAAGATGAGACACTAGATCAAAAGTTCAAACTCTGACATTTACGAATGGAACAAACTGGATTGGAATGGTAGTCTCCATAATGGGTCTCTACAAAACTAATTTAAATCAATCGATTAACAGATCAAATACCATTAATTAATTTGAAAAAATTAATTCAAATTTAAAATTTAATGTTTACATAAAAAAATAAAGTTCATTTATAAAATCATATCTAACTTAAATTTCAACGAAATTTAATTAATTTACTCTAATGTTTTTAATATAATAACAGTATTACATTAATTATTAGATCCAATGGTATGACTGACGAGGTTATCAAACCCAATGAAATTTATTAATAATATAATTGAACATGGATATTTTATTGTTCCTTTATTACAATATTACAATACAAAATTATACAATTTGAAAAGAATACGAATTCAGTATTATCCAAATAAATTACAATTTTGAATAACTACACATATCACTGCAATTCCTAGAATTAGACGCTCAAAGTCACTGGATTTACAAGATAATAATAACAATAGCAATACTAATAATAATAACAATAATAAGGGTAAAGTACACAAATTGACCCTCGGCTATAGGATGTTTTTTTTTGGATAATTCATCAATTTATTACCCAAAGATCAAAGTAGCTACAACCAATCAACCAATCATCAAAAGAAACTAAGCAGCCAAGTTACAAAAGAACAAAAGATTGGTTAGACTATTGTAACACCCCCAACCCGTATCCCAACCCGGATACGAGTCAGAGATATTACATTGACTTTTAAAACACAACTCATTACAAATAATAGTAAAATACTTGAA